AGGAATTAGCCTGCTGCTGCCGGAGTGAGGCCGGACTTAGGGCTCCGTGTGTTTGAACACACGGAGCGAAAAGCCGGCCGGATGCAGGGATGACACCGGAAGGGGCGGGGTTTGCCGCCGCGCGTGTGTGAACACACGGGAAATGGAGCCAGAGTGAGGCCGGCGGGAGGCCGGCTAGCGTCCTCCTTTTGCCCCGTGTGAAAACGTCAGGCTGGAATCCTATTGATTATTTTTACTGGTGGAAATATCACTTTGTTGCTATTGTTCCTGTCAAATCAACTTTGACTTGTGGTGACTCTCTGAATGAGAGAGGATGCCTAAATAACCTGAAGGCACCAGATGTCATCTGATCTTGGAAACTAAGCAGAATTAGGCCTGGCTAGTACTTGGATGGCAGACTGCCAAGGAACACCAGTTACTGTACACTGTTTTTCAGAAGAAGGCAAAGACAAACTACCTCTGAGTATTCCTTGCCTAAGAAAACCTTTTGCATAAAACCTGGTGACTTGGAAGCTGCATGCATATGCATATATATGTAGGAGAACCTTAAAAAAGCCCTGCTGAAGTCTTTCAAATTCAGGGATGTGCCTTCCTTGTTCCTTAGTTGAGTCAAGGGTCTTTTACATCAGCATAAGTCAATTTGACTGGGGCATAGTGGTGGTAGGGTGACAAAAACCCAATCTGTTCTGTCAGGCGATAAAGCTGCCCTTTCAACTCCTGAGTAACTCAGGAGCTGGCAGGGCAGCTTCATGTCCTTTCACTGCTGTTCTCCTTATTATTTCAATGCTTGTGCCCCCTTTTCCTCTGCTATGCCACCACTGCTTCCAACAACTTCTCTTCCACTGGTATAATTATGCTGGCAAATAGGATTGTGGTCAAGATCTCTCAGGCAGCAGGAGGTGGCAGGAAGGTTCCCAAATTGTTACACTGCTCAAGTGTGTCCTCCCAAGTTGAACAGATCTGAATAAAATCCTGGGGAACAGTGACATACTTTGCCCCTCTGCCAACCCTGCCACTGAATTTAGGTGAACTCAATGAATGGCTTTAAAAAAAAATTGATAGCAGGCTATAACTATGGTATGATAGATCTTTCTGTGGGGATGAAGAGCACGTTTCAGAAAAATAAGTTCAGAGGATTAAATAAATAGAACAATTATTAAAAAATATATTTGAGGTTTTTTAAATCATTTTTGCTTGTTTGTTAATGCTCAATGAATGGTCCTGACCTGTATGTTTTCTGTATTTAGGATATTTGTTTTACACTGGGACATATTCAGATACGGAGCCACTTTCTACATATAGCCTGACAAGGCACACCTTTTCATCCATGCACCAGAGGAGGGTGGGAAGAGAAAGGGCACATTTACCTGGTGGATGGGTGAACATTTTGGGGCAGTGAGAGTGGGAGAGGGGAGTGATCTGGAGGAACTGTGCCAGAGCAGAGTGCTTCCTCCAGTTTCAGGACAAATATTAATACATTCCTGTTAAATCATGTTACCTAGCTTTAGTGCACTACATCAAAACTTAAGGTTTTTAAAATATAAAATTAATTTGTTCTGTTCATTGCTTGATTCATTAAATCGCTATATTTGAAGACAGCATTTCGGAGTACTAGAAATGACTAGTAGTGAACTGAAGTACTGAGAAAGCAAATCGTCACACAGAAATAGCTTCCTTACTGTTTAATGATGGAAATAACATATTTTAAAATCCTCATTGGAATATTTTTATGAGCCAGGGAAAGGAAATTAATTTTAATGAATTATTTCCAAGCTTTGCTTTGAATGGAGAGATATTGCTCTGAATGAGGCAGGCAAGTGGACAGTAGTTGGGGCATAGGATTGGTCTGTAAATCAGTTGGTGCTATTTCCCTCCACCCATATACTTAATATATAGTATGCTGTCAAATGCTGTCTCTAAAACCTCTTCTTTATGTAACTTTCCTTGGACTTGCTAGAATAGAGAAGGGAAGCATGGTGATGGCAGGTTCTTCCCCTGACTTATGCACATTCATTAGAAGGGATGGCTCCATGTCTTAGAGAACCCTGGGCAAAGTGCCTTTTCTCTTTTCACCCACACCCACGGGAACTTTCTCACTTTCCTTCTTGCAACTCCTCCTTTTCCTGTTACCAGATACTGGTAGACTTACTAGGCAGCAGTTAACCTGGTGAGCAGAAGGAGAAATGGCATGGTGACAAAGTAGGACTTCATATTGTAAGGAGCACCCAACACTAATGGCTTGCTGCTTAGAACTAGTGGCTAGGCATGGAGACAATAATCAAACATATTAGAAACATTTTAAAAAATGTGTTTTTTGAGTGTTGAGAAACATTGGTGAGAAAAATCTTGGAGTAATGAAAATTTTTGCTGTTTGAGAATTATTCTATGCAAAGTATGAATACAGTTGTTCAGCATGGAAAATCACCTTTTTCTGTTTTCTGCCATTCTAATGTTTAGCCTAGTTCTGTCCAGAAAATTCTATTTTCTGCACAAAAGAGCCACATGCAATTATTTTATGCAGGATAAGTCCCAAGTTGTAAATAGTTTTTGAAAGCTGTGCAGTTTTTGAAGATCTTTAACAGTGCTTCCTTTGAGAGAAAAATGAGGAAATAATTACAACTCTACTAGTAGTTATCTGAATTTCTCCACAAGTGGTCCTAGCATAATATTACCTAGCATGCACCATTATTTATGAGTATTATGGAGGAATTAAAATATCAGCTTGCTGCCAGAACTTCATACCAGTATCCACAGTCACAGCGGGATCACCTGGGATCCGGGTTTATGTCCAGTCATGCCTTATACAGATGAGGGACCTGTTTAATAGAATATAATCAAGGGGCATTGTGAATGTAGGTTCTCTTTGTGTCTTCTAATTAATGCATATAAGTTGGGGAGAACAGCACCATTTCAGTGTTTTACCCATGATGTGTCTTCCCATTACAAGCTGTGGAAACCAGAGGTCTGTGGTTTAGCACCAGCTAAATGTGCTTCTAACTATGACTCTGGAGACCAGGGTTTGATTACCCACTCAGCCATGAAAACCACTGGGTGACTATGGGCAGGTCACATGCTCTCAGCCACAGAGCAAGGCAATGGCAAACCTCCTCTGCACAAATCTTGCCCTGAAAACTCCAAGATAGAGTTGCCATAAGTTGGAAGAGCAAAATTCCTTCCCCCTTTGTCCTCAGCTTATTTCCACTGCTGCAAACTTGAATTAAAAGTGGAAAAGTAGTTTATATTCAATTAATTCAGGAGAGGGGAGAGTAGAGGAGGGGGGAATTTTGCTCTTCCCAGTAGGCTCAGGCAAAAGGAAACTGATTCAGCCTCTCCTAACTGATGTATTCTTTCTCATTAATAATCTTTATTGCCTTGACCCCACACTGATTGCTTGATCACATCTTCCCCTGTTTTCATTTGGAAATGTTGGAGGACATGCAGATGTGATATTACCCAAGTGCATATGAAAGTATTCAAGTGACTCTTTTTCAAGAAGGTGCACAGCTGACAAATTATCTAAAGTTGATAAAACATTCTTATGATCACATCTACACACAGATCATCCAGAGGGAGGCTAGAATTCAAAAGCGCTTGCAAGTGGTAAATCTGATCATTTCAAAGGAGTATATAGCCCCATTCAGGGTAGACTCTCCCATCACCTCATAGCAGGGGTGGTGATAACAGGGTGACTTGTAGATCTCTCTTTCATAGGTCACCCTAAGTCCAAGTTGACTTGGCAGCAATTAACAATAAGTTAAGTATAGCCTATCTTTTTGAACAAAGGTTTTATTTATTTCTTATCCTCAGCAAATCTGTTACCAACTCAAGACAGCAACCCAGCACTACTTCCTTCAGCTCAGATGGAAAATAAAGATATAGCTGTAAGTTCTCAGGATAGTAATGTCAGAAACTCTGAAATGTTGGAGGGCATGTTCTATCTGCCATAGTAGGTCACATGGAAGAAGGAATTATCATCGATAGTGTGTCTTAACAGTAGAGAAAGTAGAAAGTAGAGAATGAGAGATTGCCTCTCTACTGCCTCTCATTCTCTACTTTCATTGTTATACTTTGATTCTCTTAAGACACACTGGCTATGATCTTATGGGAGGAATAATTTTGTGAAACCGGTTGTATTTTCTTGGGGGGATATTGCTGACTTTATAAACCACTTTATAAAACTTTCAGTCTGACACAGTTAGATGCCATGGGGATATGCAAACTCCGTCTTGCTGCTAACAGTACTGAACTGGGAAAATAAAACTGTCAAAGTCACTTACAGTTAAGGTATCAAAAGAGCACCCTAATCGAATACAAAGCAATGTTAACAGCTTAGCTGCTTGCCTCAATTTATTACCTGAAGTGTACTTCTGAGCCAACTTCTATTTGTGAACATTGCTAATGGTACACAAGAGGATGTTTTAAGGTTTATTGATAAACATCAACTAATTTTTCCTAAAAAAATTGAATCTACCAACATGATTCTACAAGTGGCCACAGTTCCTAAGTGCTTAAAGCAACATCAGCATCTGAAGTGCAAACAGGAAATTCTTGTGATTTGTTTTTAAATAATGAGTTAATAAGCCTGAAGACTTCCTAGTACAGAAAGTACAGGTATCAGCATATTATATAACCATGATTTAAAGGTCACTCTTTTCTTCCTCAGTAAACTTCAGCATACATGAAAATTCAATTAACCACTTATCACAAAATAAGTACCTGGCTTGAAAATCATGAAACCACAGTTTACCAAAAGCAAATGAAACCAAACAGGAAATCCACAAAAATAAACTTTACAGCACTAGTCAAATATTTTGATTTTACCATATTTAAAGGAAACAATCTTTAGCAGTGGTTCTCAACCTTTTTTGGAGAGATCATGGATTCCCTTGAGAATGTAGTGAAAGCTATAGACTTCCTCTTCAGGAAAAAAAAGTTCTTTAACACAATTTACAAAGAAACAATAAGGGAATCAACAAGAAATAACATTCTTTTTGTGCCCTGTTTATGTGGTGTAGAGGTTAGAGTGTTGGACTTTGACTCTGGAGATCAGGGTTTGATTCCCTGCCCAAGCATAAAAACCCACTGGGTAACTTGGGCAAGTCACATTCTCTCAGCCTCAGAGGATGGCAATGACAAATCCCGTCTGAAGAAACTTGCCAAGAAAACTCTATGATAGGTTCACCTTAGGGTTGCCACAAATAAAACATGATATGGAGGCCACAACAACAAACAACAATACACAGACTGTCCTTGGCATCCAGGTACGACAGCTTAAAAAACACAGATCTGTAGGCTTCTCTTAACTGACACATGTACTGCCTTGTTTGTTGTCCCATGCCACAGCCACATGGCTAGGCTGACACTAGAACTTAACTTCTGCTCATCATTCACCTAAAACAAGCAAGTGCCAAGAGGGTGACCGAGAGGTGGAGCTGCTGTACAATAATAATAACAATAGTAATAATAAAATTTATTTATACCCCACCCCTCTGTTAAAACAATTGGGGCAGCTTACAACAATTAAAATTACAGTGAATACAAACCAAACCCCAGGACCCTCCCCTCCCCCCATTAAAAAGGTATTAAACTACACATATTAAAATTTAACATAAAATCTCAAGAAAAATAATTAAAATAATTAAAACAATTAAACAGACAAATACAAGCCACGAGGAAGCAAGAGCAGAAAGAGGTAAAGAGACACTGCTCCTGAGGCCGGGATCTAATTAAGAAGCTAATCAGGAAAGGCCTGCCGGAAGAGATCCATCTTCACAGCTTTTTTAAAGCTGCTTAAATTTGTAATCTGACAGATCTCGTTCGGCAGGCTTTTCCATAATCTGGGGGCGGTTACTGAAAATGCCCTTTGGGAGGTTGCCAATAGCCTAGATTTTAATGGCTGGAGAAAATTCCTCCCAGACGATCTGAGTGTGCAGGGATGATTATATGGAAGGAAGCAGTCCCGAAGATAGGATGGACACAAGCCAGTTAGGTCTTTAAAGGTGATAACCAACACCTTATACTGGGCCTGGAAACTAATAGGCAGCCAGTGAAAAGATTTTAGTACCAGAGTTATATGGTCTCTCCTAGATATTTCAGAGACCAGTCTGGCTGCCATATTTTGTACTAATTGAAGTTTCTGGACCAAGCACGAGGGTAGCCCCATGTAAAGTGCATTACAGAAATCCAGACATGAGGTTACTAGTGCGTACACCACAGCCTCAAGGTCCCTTACTTCCAGGAAAGGGCGCAGCTGGCATATCAGCTGAAGCTGATAACAGGCACTCCTGACCATCGCATTTACCTGATTAGTCATCAGGAACGATGAATCAAGGAGTACCCCCAGACTGCAAACACAGTCCTGTAAGGAGAGTGTGACCCCATCCAGGACTGGAGGTTGTAACCCAGTTCCTGGTTTCGTGGCCGCTACTGTTAGCGCCTCCGCTTTGTCTGGATTCACTCTCAATCTGTTTTTCCTCATCCAGCCCATTACTGCCTTAAGACATTCATTGAGAGGAGAGACGCCATTGGGAGTCGAGGCTGACGATCGAGACATGGAGAAATAGATCTGGGTGTCATCAGCGTACTGATAACACCCAGCCCCATGACTCTGGATAATCTCACCCAGAGACTTCAGATAGATGTTAAATAGCATCGGCGACAGGATGGTGCCTTGAGGGATGCCACATGCAAGCTCCCTTTTAGCAGAACCACTGTCCCCAAGCAGCACCCTCTGGGATCTGCCCGAGAGGAAGGAAAGGACCCACTGCAATGCAGTGCCTCCAATTCCTAACCCACTCAGGCAATTCAAGAGGATGCTATGATTTATCGTATCAAAAGCCGCTGAGAGGTCTAAGAGCACCAACAAGATCAACTACCCCTGTTGATGCTCAGATGCAGATCGTCGTTCAAGGCAACCATGGCAGTCTCAACTCCAAATCCCGTCCTAAAGCCAGTTTGAAATGGGTCTAGATAATCGGTTTCATCCAAGACAGCTTGGAGCTGAAGAGCAACTGCCCTCTCAATTACCTTGCTCAAGAATGGTAACAACGAGACTGGTCTATAATTATTCATATCCAGGGGGTCCAGGGAAGGTTTTTTTCCACCGCTTCCTTTAAACAAGGTGGAACAGAGCCTGCCCTTTGTGTCTCTGCCCTTTAGTGCTCAATTGCCAACATGCAGCTTTCCTTCCCCTAGTGGCCTAAATTCTTTTTTAGGTCAGCAAATACAGCCTCACCCTGCAGCCAGCTTTCTCTGCATGGGAGTGGGGCACATTCCTGTAGAACAATTGGGCCATACTATAACTCTACTTCTATATGATTAGAACAGTGATGGCAAACCTTTTAGGGGCTGAATGCCCAAACTTAAAGGCTTTCCAGCACTGGGTGTTGCCCAGTGCCAGGGGCTGGACTTCCACCCTCCAAGGATGGGACTTTTTGGGCTAGACTTTTTTCCCTCACCCTCCTGGGCCTTCAGCTGTCTCCAGAGAGGCAGATGAAGGCCTGGGGGGGGGGAGGGGAAGAAGAAGAACAAGCATACACCTTTTCCTCCTCCTCCCCCCCAGCAACCTCCTGGGCCTTTGGCTGCCTCTCTGGGGGGAGGGGAAAAGGAACAGATGTACACTTGTTCCTCTCTTCCTCACCATCCCGGGCCTTCAGCTGCCTCCGGGGAAGCAGTTGAAGGCACAGAAGGGCAGGTGGTAGTTCTTCCCTGCCCTCTTGTGCATTTAACTGTCTTTAGAGAGGCAGTTGAAGCTATGGCAGGGCAGGTGAAGAGGAGGAACAGGCGTGTGCATGTTCCTCCTTTTCTTCTGCCCTGCCATGTGCCCTCCAAAATGGCTTCATGTGCCAGAGATGGTACACATGCCATAAGTTTGCCAACACGGGACTAGAAACTAGGTCCCCCCCCCTCAAATTAAGCTTGGAATCCAGATCACAAAATAATCTCATCAAGCACTGGGTCGTATGCTTAGAATCCAGATCAAATCCAGCCACACTGGGATTAAAGAAACCCCAGTGACAAATAGGGTTATGTATGGCTATATTTATAGTCACTTCTTGTTTGTTAGTTTTTATTATTTCCTCTCTCTTTCTGAATCAGTCTAATCTGCAAGTCATGTTTTCTTCTTCTCTGTTTCTCTTCCATAACACACTGTGTTTGCCTATACACAAGTATTTTGTCAGTAAAGCCAGTTTTATATTCTTTAGCAAGAAGACTATTCCTGTGTTGCCCCCAGCTTCATGTCATCCTATCTGGAGAACTTAGCTCTGGGCCAGGACCAACCAGTCTGGATGCCAACCTGGTGGTCTAGGACTAATCCCAGCCCATACGGGCCTTAATCCAGTCCAAAAAGACCAACTGTTTGCTGCAGAGTTTCCAGGAATCTCGGCAGTGACAGCCAGTGGACTGGACGGCCCTGCATATCCCATACCTGCAACTGCTGTCATATCTGTCCTGAAGGCCTGGGATGCCTGGTCATGTGGATTTAGCCAGGTGCCCTATTTCCAGTCTTAGGACAGATACAACAGTGTGGCAGTTATGGGGCATTTGGTCTTAGCTGGTTCATGGCACAATGGTGGGTGGGTGTGTAAACACCAACCTGTTTCCCTGCCAGCCTGGGGACTGACCCAGTTTGGAATCAGGGGCAGGATACAAAAGGCTTGAATCATGGTATCCTGCCTGTTGGTTCAGTCCCTAAGCTGATTTCTTCCTCTGTTAGACTGTGTGTGACTGTTTTGGGGCTGGTTGTTCTGCTTTTGCCCTGCCAGAGAAATCTAATGCTATTTCTCACATTTCTGACCATTTTAAAATATTCAACCCATGTTTGTGACACTGAGTTACAGTTTCTGCTTTTATGTTTTGGAAAGGCTTCTCATCTGTCTACCCACACTAAATGGCTACCAGGTACAACATGGCCTTTCCCAATAAAGAAATAGCTGTGCAGTCAAACTGCTGTAACAGTGTGGCATGGATAGACTCTCACTTACGCCAAGCCCAATGGAATGGGAGCATAGCCCCCAGAAAGCCAAACCCTTACATTCTCATGTAGGTCTTTCCTCATCTTTCATGCCCCAGGGGAATCCTCATCATGGCATTTAGGATAAAGGCAAGAGCAGTTTCGCCTCTGCACACAATCCTTTAGGAAAACTTCTCATAAGAAATTCATTTCTGTGTATTTGTGTGTTGTCATCTGGGGAAAAAGCTTTTTCCCTAGGGTGTGCAACTCAATCCCAAGCACTGAGTTTCGATGCAACTGACAGTTTTATCATGCAGTCAGTTTTGGTTGGCAGGAACATCTCTAACAAATAAAAGCACTTCCCACTTCATTCCAAATCCCCTTAGGGCCTGTTTGGAAAGGGAGGGGAACTTTAAGGATCTGAAGGTGAGGTTTTTATCTGCAAGTTAAATAAACTGGCATTTGACTCCTTAATTTCTCAAGTGGTGCTCAAAATCTGCCTGAATTCATGCCCAGAACATCTCCACCCAGCTCAAGATGCACACAGAGGGATTGTATCTGGTCAGTAGAAGTGGTGCCAATGTTTAGTACTGCTGTGTCCTCTTCTTCTAGGGAACTGACCATGTGTGAAACTGGTTCTGAGCAATTGCCTTTCAGGCCTTGTCTGCACTGGCCAGAATACTCCAGCCACAGCCTGGAGTATCCTGGCCGCACAGCTGCCCTGTCCTTCCCCCATTATTTCACCTCCATTCACTTCCATTTCACCTCAGTCATGGTGGTTATCTGCATGGGCAACTTGCATTCTGAGGTCCAAACAAGGTGCCTAGAGTTGGTCACATGCTGGTGCCTTGTTCTGATTTCATGACCTATGGTCGTGGCAGATGTGCCATGTATCCCAGCAGAATGCCCATGCAGGTAGCCACTATGACATGGAAAAAGAGGGCTCTGCATCTTCCTGGAAGATCTGGAGCAACAGGTAATTCTTAAAATTTGTTTTAACCTTGGTATACCCCAGTTCTGGTGTGGGATGTGCCAGATGTCATCCTGACTTCCCACATCGGAACTGGGAATTGGACCATGGGTTGTCCAAGGAGGCTGATGCCAGAATGAGGGGATTTT